TTGTAGTCCTATATATTTTATTATATAATTTAAAGGGTGCATCCATAGAGTTCACCAGGCTGCCAAAGGGATCCGTGACAAAAAAAGGTTGAGAACACCTGTTCTGGTGTTAATCTGATCCCTCACTTCATAGATAAGGAAACTGAGGCCCAGAGAGGTATTATGACATTCCACAAAGTGACATTTTAATAAGGCATAATTAAAGGACAATTTTAGCCCAATTTAGTTGATAAATTGGGGCAACTAGGTGGTGCAGTGTATAGAGTGCTGGGCCTGGAGTCAGGAAGACTCATCCTCCTGAGTTCAAATCTGGCTTCAGATACTTACTAGCCCACCCCTGGGCAAGTCACTTAACCAAGTGTGCCTCAGTTTCTTCATTTGTAAAATGAGCTGGGGAAGGAAATGGCAAACCACTTCAGTAAGAAAACTCCAAATGGAGTCACAGTCAGACACAACTGAAAAATGACTAAACAACAACAAAAAGTTTAGAAGTTTCTCTGTACTTTACCCCTTGGCTACAACCCAAAGTGTAGTGGAAAACATTCTGAATTTGGAGTCAGAGGACCAATGATCACACCTCTCTTGCTCCTCTACTTGCTTTGCTGACCTTGGACAGATCATTTAACTTCCCTTGGTCTCAGTTTTCTTATCTGTCAAATGAAACCACTGAAATAAGGTGATTTCTAAGGTCTCTTCCTGCTCTAAGTCTATGAGCCTACCTCCTACTCTTCTAATCCCTGAGATGGTCTATCTTGAAAAACCCCTTTCTTGCCACCTCTTACTGAGCTCTGAGCTCTCCCTCTTCTCAGTCCCAATCCTCTTCCCGCTTCCAAAAATATTTGAATCATAGAGAAAAATATTCCAAAAATATTGTAATCATAGAGGATTCCACAGTGCAAGTATTAAGACATAGCTTTAATGTACAAAATGCACAAAGGTAAAATTCCTTCACTTCCAAGGTCAGCTGCACAGAATGAATGAAGCCCTGGTCACCATGACCAAGATGACTGCTATCTGGTATCTTGGAGTGCACACAGCTTCTCCCTTTCTATCTTGTTTGATTTTGGGGATCCCAGCTCTTATATTGATTTTGTATAATGTCAACATACAAAACCACTCACAAACCCATCCCTAATTTCAAGTCAACCCCAAATTATCATAAAACATATTGGATTTATGGTTGTGAACAGTTCCTCAACTTCAACAGATGAGTCAGATAATATTTAGGTCAAAGGGTCTTGATAACTAAATATAGATCCTAGAAATTTTCCTGATATACTGTGGTACGATAAAGATAAGGGGAAAGGTAGAAGATTAATGTAAGACTCAGTCCACCCACACCTGGTTTGAGTAGAGTCAGAGAATATATATTGAGATGGTTCTGCAGAGCTGACTCCATGAGATCTTTCTAATCTGCCTTATTCCCTCCTAAGGACATGATGAAGCTGGCGGTGAGTAGACTGGCCTTTCCTTTGTACTTGTAACATCAGAATTAGAGAGATGATGTGGTGCAGTGGAAAGGACCCTGGATTTAGAGTCAAGGGTCTGGGTTTGGAACCAGGCTTTGGCCATCAACTTAAACACACGACCTCGAGTGAATCACTTCCTTTGCCTGAGCCTATTTGCCCTTCTGTAAAATGAGAATGTTGGTAGTGATGGTCCCTTCTAGTTCTGAATCTACTAACCCTGTAGAGAATGTTAGCAATCTTATAGGAGTTATTTTGTGATAGAAAGCAGAAGAGGGGGAAGGGAATAAACATTTATAGAGCACCTACTGTGTGCCAGTCATTGTGCTAAGTGCTTTTACAAATATTATCTCATCTGATCCTCACAACAGCTCTGGGAAGTAAGTGTTATTATTATCCCCATTTTACATATGAGGAAAATGAGGCAAACAGGTTAAGTGACTTGCCCAGGGTCACACACAAATTGAGAGTCTGAGGCCAGATTTGAACTCCAGTGTTTCTGATTCCAAGCCCAGTACTTTACCCACTGTGTCACGGGTTGCCTCTAAATTCTTCTGTAATAGGACATTGGGAAAAAATTTCTCTCCATTCTAGTTCTCCCTGTGATGAGACTTAGATCAGAGGTGGGACTTACATACCTCTTAAGATTTATAGCTGGATGAAACCTTGGAGATTATTCAGTCTTACTCCCTCATTTTATAGATAAGGAAACTGGGACCCAAAAAGAGGATGTGACTTACCCTTGTTATACAGGCATCAGCTGAACCCGGGTCTTCTGATACCAGAGCCACTATTCTTTATAGCCTAATGTGTTGTTGTCATTCAGTCATTTCAGTTGTGTTCTACTTTCCATGACCCCATTTGGGGTTTTCTTGGCAAAGATACTGTAGGGGTGTGCCATTTCCTTTTCCAGGTCATTTTACTGATGAGGAAACTGAGGCAAACAGGTTTAAGAGACTTGCCTAGGGTTACACAGTTACTAAGTGTCTGAGGCCGGATTGGAACTCAAGAAGATGAGTCTTCCTGGCTTCAGGCCAAGCACTCTATCCATTATGCCACCTAGCCCAATGCAGAATGATGCAATTGCTATTTCAAGGGGGAATCAGGATCTCATAGTTACATTCAAAGAGTCTTCCAGTAGCTATTTCTGTCCTTGACATAATTGCCCTTTCCTTCTGTGCTTCAAAACCCCTCACAGCCATTGGTCCAAGACTGACTTGGCAGAGGCCAAAGGGATCCTTCTCATCATTCACTTTCTCCTTTGGCTAAGGGAATAAATACCATTTAGTCATTCATTATTCAAGTGAATTCTCAAAGTAAGTGTACAGCAACTCTTTGCACAACATCCCAAGCTTTGAAATGGGGTTCTACATAAATCAGCATGGCCCCCAACCACCAATCAACAAATACTCATTAAGCACTCACCATGGCCAGAGCTCAGCATTTAGGCACTTGAAACACCAAGTTTAGGCATGTTATAGTGCTATTTGCAGACATATAATAGTTCCCTCTAGTCAGAATGGAGTATTCCCCCTTCCCAGAAATATTGCAGTTTGCTGAACCTTCTATGCCTCTGCTTATGTTCTTGTCTATGCTGAAATGACCTTTCTGTCTTCAGATAACGAATTCCTATCAAATTCTTTAAAGCCCAATTCCCAATGTTATCTCCTCCAGGAAGATTCCCCTGATTCCTTTCCTCAAACTCCAATTGGTATTGCTCTTTCCCCCTTGTGAGCTCATGGATGATTTTGTTCGCCACCTCTCTGAAGCATCTTATGTGTATTAGAAGAAAAAATACTTATGTCTTTTCTCCTTATGAGACTGTAAGCCCCATGGGTTTAGAAACTGTATCTTATCTAAGCTTCATGTTTCTCCCTATGCCTAGGACAGAATTATACACACTGTAGTCACTTAATAGAAGTTTGTTGGGTTGAATAGAATGGGCTACAAAAGAAGAGCTGTTATATCTGGCATATAAGAGCCCAGTTCATGTCACTGAAGGCAGCTACGGTTCACCGGAAAGAACACTGAGCCTGGCATTAACTTTGCTTCCTGGTTCTGCCAAGGTGATAGGGCTCATGTCTTCTTTCTTCGTTGTAATCCAATATTCTATCCCACTCTCTCCAGTTGTTGCTGTCATGGAGGAGGATTGCTGTATCAAATGGGATAACATGTACAGTGTTTTGCAAATCCCAGGTTGTACATACATGTTAGCTATAATGATGATGTGGACCTGAGATGTCATTAGTGTAGGGAACTCCTGATGAGGAAAATCCCTCTATCAACGTAGATCAGCAACTGTTCTGCAACCTATATTGAGAGTCCGTAGCCTGGGGCACTGAGAGGTTATGACTTTCCCAGGGTCACACGATCAATATGTACTAACGGCAAGACTTGGACCCTGGTTTTCTTGACTCTAAGGATGCCCTCTACCCATTTTCCCACTCTGCCTTTGAAAAAATGTAAAGATATTAATTTGTACAAACATTTAGTATCTCTCGATATTCTCCCCAATTGAATAAAAATGAAAAAATAAAACCTTATAACAAATATGCATAGTTCAGCTAAACAAATTACTGTATTGGTCTCGCTAAAAATGGATATCTCACTCTGTATTTTAAATCAATCACTTACCTTGTGGGAGATGGGTAGCATGTTTCATCTTTGGTCTTTTCCCGTATTGTTTTTCGATATTTAAAGATATATGGATACAGATAGATAAGTATTTGTACATATGCATGTGTTCTATAACAAAGTATGTATTTTCCACTAAATTAGAATACATATTTTAGGGTATAATGTTGGAGGTCACAGTGTATTAGGAATGACTTTGGGTCTTAAAGACATTGACTAGACAAACAAAGGCTCTCACAGATACTACTAAACGCAAAAAGCTTCACATACATACTGGAGATGGGCTGTATGCCTATTTACTTAGAACACGCCTAGCTAAGAGCAGTGAATCTAGTCACTTAACTGGTCACAAAGGAAGGAAGGAATTTTTTGGCACCAGGAGCTCATTAAGACAATCTACTAAAGGCTGCAAACTTAGAAAACGCTTACAGGAGGAGTATGGATTCTTAGTTCAAATGGGCACAATCCAGTTCAGACTGCTTCTATACAGTAGAAGAAGGTGGAGAGAGAGAGAGAGAGAGAGAGAGAGAGAGAGAGAGAGAGAGAGAGAGAGAGAGAGAGAGAGAGAGAGAGAGAGAGAGAGAGAGAGAGAGAGAGATACAGATAGGTCCAGTTAGAGACGGGGACAGGAAGAGGGAGAAGAGAGACAAAGAGACCTGGATTCAGAGCCCAGAACCAAGGAGAGAGACAGACAGACAGACAAAGACATATAGAGACAGAGACAGATAGAGACATGGGGGAGATAGAGAGAGAGAGAGAGAGAGAGAGAGAGAGAGAGAGAGAGAGAGAAGAGAGAAGAGACAGGAGACACACACAGAGATAGAGACAGAGAGACAGGAAAAAAACAGATAGTGATAGAGACAAACCATTCATATTCTCTATTTTTCTTTTTCATTTCAGATTGTGTGTATTGGACTCCTTGGATTGCTCCAGGGTTCTACCTTTGCTGACATTGTGAGTCTACTTATTCTGAAACATTTGTTGGTTTAATTTTCTCCTAAGAAAGTGTCCAGGAGCAGCCCCGTTTTGTTATTAATATGTTTAATTTAATATACACTCTAAAAAACTGTATATAATAGCTCACAGTTTCATATATAATCCTCTTTTTTCCATTTTTCTTATATATTGAAAAGGTCACTTTTTTGTTTATCCAGTTATAATAAAATAAATATGTAATATAAAAATATAAATAAATATATAATATAAAAATATAATAAAAATAAAATTAACAATACTGCTAAGGAACTACAGCGATGTGCATTCTGAATTTCTTTTGCAATCGCAGAATAGCAACATCGGTGATGGCAACAACATCAGTGACCATAGTGCGCAGACAGTAACTGTTAACGACAACCACAATATAGCCAATATTGATAATAACAATGGATGGGATTCTTGGAACTCACTCTGGGACTACAACACCGTAAGTAGCCAGCAGGTTCTCAGGAAGAATGTTCTTCTTCACGCTCATGACTCATGTTTCTGTAATCCCTCAAGGCTTACAAAACACTCTAACCTCAGTAGTATCACGAGGCAGGTGACACAAATATTATTACTCCAATGTTAGAGTCACTGAAAAGAAGGAACCTAAGAGGCCATTTTTTTTTCAAACCACATTTTGCTATGGAGGAAACAGACCCAGAGAGGAAACTGAGTTCCCCAAGGCCACACCACTAGTCAGTGGGAGAGCCAAAACTGAGCTCTGGTTAGGTAGAAAGGCTGAGTGTTCTTTACACTACAAAATGCTACCAAAGGGTGGCAACGAGAATCAGAGAGGTTAAATCATTTTCCTACATTATTATTGACTATATGACACAGGAAATAGACTGAGGTCTCCAGATTCCAGGTCACAATGAAAGACTTTAGACTCTGCCAAAAAAAGAAAAGAAAAAGGTGGGTGGGGGAGCCCATGATTTATCTACTCTTCTCTCCCAGTGATTAGACATGAAACATCCATGGGCCCTATGGAAAAGTTAGTGATAGCGTGACCTAGTGTTTCTAAGTTTAAAATGAGAAAACCTGTGATCTAAGCCTGGTTATTCTACGAGGTGGTTGCGTGGCCCTGGTCAAGTCAACCTCTCTGAAACTCATTTATTTATTTTTCCATCTGACCAGTAGGAAGAGCACCAGAATTGGAGTCAGAGATCTGGATTTGAATTCTGGCTCTTCCCATTATTCCCTGTGTGACTTTGGACAAGGCCCGTTAACAGTATTTGGCCTCAATTTCTTCATTCGTAAACAAATAAAAATAAAACCCAGGGTGCTGGACTTAGTCATGTATGAGCTTTACGGCCACTTACAGCTTTAGAATAATAATGATAATAGCTAACATTTACACAACACTTTAATGTTTGCCAAGCATTTTACATACATAATCTTAATAGAGTCTAGGATCTTTGCCTCATGTGTCTGTGAAGCTCAAGGGAGAGAAAACACGTGAAAAATCATATAATTCCTTAGGGACTTCGTTTCTCATTTATGAATTGGGAAAATGGACGAGATGGCACCTAAGGTCTCCTCCAACTTTTAAGTCCATGATCTTGAAGTGTTTTCTGAAGTTAAATACCATCAGTGGCATGCTGGAGCTGTCTAAGGAGAACCAATAGTTAAACGTTCAGCATAAGCATTTATGCCTCAGAAATCAGCTAATGATAAAAATCAGGACTTAAGAAGGTGATAGCAAAACCATTAGTGCAAATCAAATGTAAAAGTGTGCTATGCATATGTTATATATGCACATATACCTGTATCTGTGTATGTGTGCACATAGTATGTACATGTATATGAAACACATGCACATATACATGCCATGTGCAAGCATGTACACATACATGCATTTTATAAGATAATATATTACACATATAACAGGTTATAATATAACAATACATATAGGTGTTATTTATATACATGTGCATGCATATATATGCATGTGTGTATATATACATGCATACACACAAACACATATTGCAATGCATATATACATGCATGTACATTATATATACCACATACTTTTATACATACATGTACACAAACACTCCCTATGTGAGAAACAGTTGCTAAATATTTATTAGCATGCCTCTGAAATGGAAATTATTTGAATATTAGAATGTAGTCTCTTCGAGAGAATCCCAAGTACTGAGCGTAGTGATTAGCACATACCAAAGACCTAATCCATACTTGTTGTTGGATTGGAAAGGGTTAATTAAATGAAGCTGATTCAGTGGGCTGGTCCCATTACACTCCATTTCAGATGTTTCATGGAGTCCTTGTTTCTGCTCCAGGTTTGTGGGAACATGGAACTCAAGGGGACCCGTGATATCATCTAATCCATCCCCCTCATTGTACAAATGACATATTTGAAGCTCAGAGAGTCTAATGACTTTCCCAAGGTCACAAGATAGTAAATAATAATCATAAGTATTTATCTAGCACTTTAAGATTTGCAAAGCACTTTACACCAGTTACCTCATTTGATGCCAATAATAGTCCTGTGAGATAAGTGCTATTCTTACCTCCATTTCACAGATTAGGAAGACTGAGGCTAAGAGGTTAAAAGATTTGCCCACAGTCAGATGGCTAATAAGTGTCTGAGGCAGGATTTGAACTGAAGTCTTCTGGACTCCAAGTTCAACACTATATCCATTGCTCCATCTATCTGCTTCCAATATAGCCATGGTTGGAACCCAGGTTTTCTGATTCCACAGTCAATTTTATTTCTACTTTAGCAGAATTGATTTCTGAAGGGAAGACCTACATTGGGAAATAAAGACTTCATTATCCATCATTTCCTTTTCACAGGGCTTTGCAGCAACTAGGATCTTTGCCAAGAAAATCTGCATTGTGCACAGGCTGAACAGAGATGTTTTGCCTGGCCTTCAGGACCTTAAGAAGACAGCAAAAGAAAAGAGGGTAAAAGACACATTTCCCATTATGAAAGAGAAACAGTAAATGTGAGGCAGAGTCCAGTTAAAGAAGTCAGAGTGGAGGCCAAAGAGGAGGCTTTTGGTCTTCCTAAATGGGTGAGGTAAAGACACTGTGGGCTAAACATGTTGGGTGAAAGGCATCTCCATACATTCCAGACATGACTGTTCTCTTTTTAGTGCTGCTCCTTCTATAGCTTATTGATCATCTAGAGTAATCCAGAATCCCAGAGCTGGGACTAATTCCCTTCCCCAAGTTACACGGTATTCTTCATTATCCTTAAGCAGTTCTTTGTCATCCCTGACCAATGACCATTTAGCCTGTCAATCTAAGAATTTCCATGGACTCCCTTTTACATCTCTACAACTGTTGTTGGTTTTTTTTGGGTTTTTTTGGTTTGTTTTTTTTGCAATATTTGATTGAATTCACTTGTAAATTCATCTGGTTCTGTAGGCTTTTTTTTTCTTTGACAATTCATGTGTGGTTTGTTCAATTTATTTTTGTGATATTGGGTTATTTAAACCGTTTCTTCTTCTGTTAATCTGGATATTTTATATTTTTGTAAGTATTCATCTATTTCTAAGTTATCATATAACCTATGTCATATGACACACATATACATCATATAACATATAACTGGCATATAAATTGGCAAAATAGCTTCTGATAGTTTGCTTTATTTCCATTTCAATTGTTCTGATTTCTTAAAAATTTTTATATGAACAATTTTGTTTTCCTCTCTTTTAAAATCAGATTAGTTATTTTATTGATTTTTTTATAAAATTAGCTTTTAGTTTTATTTATCACTTCATTTTCTTTTTTTTTTGCTTTCAATTTTGTTAATCTCTTCTTTGATTTTCAGAATTTCTACTTTGGTGTTTAGTTGGGGGGATAAATTTGCTGCTTTTCTAGGTTTTTTTTAGGTGTATGCTCAATTCATTCATTTGTTCCTTCTCTATTTTATTGATGAAAGTACTTAGAGATAAAAATTGTCCCCAAGGGACTGCTTTAGCTACATCCTATAAGCATGCCTCATAACTAAATGGTCACCTCAGCTTGTTTATCATTTGCCCTGTTTGACTGCCCCCTTAGGCAAATGTACATACTGGACCTTCCCCCAAAAGCCTGCAGTATCAAATTGAACCTGAGGAATTAAAAGATCTGACTCAGTTTGGAACCCCTATTGAAAACATGTGCAAGGGGCTTCGTACATACAAAGCTCAGGAAGTACAAGGTGAGTATCTCTCCTAATGGATATTCCATTCCAATTCTTGTGCCATTCTGTGACCAGCCTTTACAATCATCAATAGAAATTGCTTAGCTATAGTACCAAGTACAGAATAGATGCTTACTCGTTCATTCAATGTACATTTTAAAACTATTGTATATTTTGTATTGTGATCTAGCAGTTTCTGCATTTGGTTCCAAATATTATGTAAGGTCCCTGACCTCAAACAGTTTAGTAGGGGTCAGGCAGGACTAATAAGGTATATACTCAAATACAATACATCAGAAAATACTAGTTGCATAAAATAAAGTGCCAGGAGGAAAAGGAGAGGGATTGCTTGTAGCTGGGAGTTTCAATGGAAGCCTCAAGGAGATGGTGGCATTTGACCTGGGCTTTGAAGGATGGGCAAGAAGTTAACAGTCAGTTATGAGAAGGGAATCATTCTAGAAGTGGGTAACCTAGAGCTATCAGAAAAATATGGTACATATTTGGGAACCTATAAGTAAATGTGGCTGAAGTATAGAGAAAATAAAAATAAAATAATAGAATAACATAAGGCTCAAAAGGTTGTCCAGAGCCAGATTATGGAAGGACTTGGGTGCCAAATAGTAGTCCAGTAGGAAAGTCTGGGTCATTCTACAGATAGGAGGACAATAGCTACAATGTGTGTGACTACAATACAATTTCTGCCCTAGGCTATGTAAGCCAACGTGTTTAAGTGAAGGAAGTAATGTCAATTATACCGACTGATGCAGTTCTTCTGGTACAGATAGATTACAAGAGTGAGACAGAGAAGCCAGGTAGAGCTGCCCCAGGGCTCCTGAGCTGGGTGGTTGACATGGTCAGGCTTCCTAGGTGTGCTCTTTTTGTCTCTTTTTATGTGCTTGATTTTTCATCCTACCCTCTGGTGACTGGTGTTTATTACCAGATGCATTGTTAACCTGTCACTCTGCTATTTTTCCATCTCAGAGTTTGGAATATACGTTAGAGCTACATTTGGATATCTCCCCGTCCTTAGGGTCCATGTATTATTGGGGGATTGCCTTATTAAAAAGTTCTCTGGCCACTTCCAAAACTTTGTAAACAAACCCTGAGGATGATGTTTAAGACCATTCAATCTTGTTCAGATTTTTACTATACAATGAAGAGCATTATAGTGAGGTTCCTTCATAGTATGTGTATTTTTTTTGGAGTTGCTAACAGAGGAGCATTCAATTTTTAAAGATAGTCTACTACCTATCTTTGTGATGATCACTGCTTCAGTTTTAGCAAATCATTAGGTATCAATCAATCAACATTTATTAAATGCCTACTGTATGCCAGGCACTGTGCTAAGGGCTGGGTATCTGGTTTTGTAGTCTGAGTTTGCTTCCTCATCCCAAGGATGGTACCTTATGAGGAGCTCAGGAGGTAACACTAGAGTGTTTTGGGATTTTATTAAAAAATCAATGGGAAACCATTAAAACTTTTTGGAGTAGACCTCTTCTGGTAGTTAGGTGATAAATGAACTAGATGAGGGGGTAGAGAGACTAGACATAGAGAGACCAATTAGGAGGCTTTTAAAATAGCTCATACAGGAAGTACTCTAGCTTGGACTAGGGTAGTGACAGAGAGATTGGAAGGAGGAAAGAGAAAAATGATATGATAATACTGATGATACTGATGATGATGATGATGATGATGATGATGATGATGATTGAAGAAGTGAAATCCTGGAGCAAAAGAGAGGGGAATAAGATCAAGGGCACAGGGGGAGAGCATAAACCCCATTAAGAACTAAGGTTACCTCGTACTCAGAGGCAATAGGGAAGGAAATGAGCATGAGTAAAAATGTGGTTAAGTTTGAGGTGAGGATAAGGAATCAGTCAATATTGAACAATGGATTGGACAGGTGAATCACCCAGTCCTGGGGTGGAGAACCTGCAGCTTCAAGGCCACATATGGCCCTCTAGGTCCTCAAGTGCAGCACTTTGACAGAATCCAGACTTCACAGAACAAATCCCTTTAATAAAAGGATGTGTTCTGTAAAACTTGGACTCAGTCAAAAGGTTCACCCAAGGACCTCCAAGGCCTCATGTGGCTTTAAGGCTGCAGGTTCTCCACCCCTGATCCAATCCGTTCTTCTACCTCAAGACATAAGCAATGCTATATATTTGCATGCGTGAGTAAATGAACGAATCATATTGTTTCCTAATTTGGCTAATAATGTGTATCTTTTATCTATGAATCTACTAACTAATTCACTTATGGGTGTTCAGAAAATGTCTTTAAATCAGAATAAATGTCCTCCAATATAATATAGTTAGAATCATAACTAGTGGAAACTGCTCCTGAAGCAAATTCAGTTGAGGGGATTAGAAGAGCCTATTCAGTGGAAGGAAGAAAGGAAAGAAACGAAGCAATGGGTGATGTGGTCATAGATAGGCATAGAGGGCAGCGGAAACAGATGGGAGTGTGGCTGAGGGACATAGTAGGAAGGCGGCACCAGACGTCCCTCTAGTACTGCCCCCCTTCCCTGAACTCTTGACTTGCAAGGACTAAGAGAACTGTCCAGCAGTCACTAGGAACTCTGACTTGCATGGGCTGATGCAAAGTGGAATGCATTGTGTACAAAGTTAACAGCAATGTTGTAAGACGATCAGCTATGAATGACTTAGCTATTCCCAGCAATACAATGATCCGAGACAACTGTGAAGGGCTTATGATGAAAAATTCTATCCATCCCCAGAGGAAGAACTGATGGTGTCTGAATGTAGACTAAAGCATGCCCTTTTTATTTTATTTTTCTAGAGGTTTTTTGTTTGTTTGTTTTTTGGTCTATGTGTTCTTTCACAACATGACTATTATGGAAGTGTTTTGCGTGACTACCCAGCCTATATTGAATTGCTTGCCTTCTCAATGAGGGTGGGTGGGGAGGGAGGAAGGGAGAGAATTTGGAACTCAGAGTTTTAAAAACAAATGTTAAAAATTATACATGGAACTGGGAAAAATTTACATGGAACTGGGGAAAAATAAAGTACTGAATAAAAATTTTAAAAAATATGTGGAACTCTGCCCTTCTCAGGAACAAAAACATCCTGTCACAGGTCAGTTCCCTGAGGTAGAATCCCTTTCGGCTGGGTTGAGTATGGTTCTTAATGGCACACTTCCAGGCAACTGAATTGACCTCGGGATTTTTACCTATGTAACTTTTTACTGAGCTCAGAGAAAAGGTGGCTGTAGCATATTATGTGACACACAGAAAGAAACAGTCCTGTTAGAGACACTGATGTTGGCTTAACTATTCCTTTCTATGCAGGGCAAAGCTTCTTATTCTTTAGCGGCTCATGCTTCAACGCTGATATCCTCTGGCTTCTGAACATCTCAATCTGTGGAGAGACAACAACTATGTGAAGAAATCACTGATGACCCACCAACCATGGTGTGCTCCCCAAAACTTTTCAAATCCTAATATTAAGAATAAAACAAAAAATTTAATAAATAAATAAATAATAAAAATACTTTCTATTTCCCATCTTGCTTATCATGAATTGTTTTCCTTTCTCTCTGTTTTCAAGTTGTCAATAAAACCTATTTACGATTAGAATTACTTTATTTTATTTTAAATTTCTAATGATTTCTGTTTGTATTTCTTTATAGCCTATTGATTAAGAAATAGATGGGACTTTAGAGTTCACCTCATCTCATCCTCTCATTTTATAGATGATGAAACTGAGGCCCAGAGAGGCTGAGTCAATCACCTGAGATCACACAGGTAGTAAGTGACAGAACAGGATTTGAACCCTGTTCAATCAAACCTGATTCCACACCAGGTGCTTTTTCCATTGTACCACGGGCCTTTCTATCTTATGATACATTTGGATATTTCCTATCCTTAGGGTACATGCGTGCATTATTAGGGAAATGCCTTATAAAGAAATTTTGTAGCTACCTCAAAAATTTTGTAAGCAAACCCCTAGGATGATGTTCAAGACCATTCAATCTTATTCAGAGTTTAATTATACAATGAAGAATGTTATAGTGAGGTCTTTGTGTAGTCTGTATTTATTTTATTGGAGGAGTTAATGGAGTAACATTTAATTTTTAAAGGTAGGCTAATACAAGCCTTTTTTTAAAAAAATGGTTCTATGGTTTTGCCAAAATGACATAGACATAAAAAACCCAGTCAGTTCAAAAACACAAAACAATGGTTTTTAAAGTAAAAATGTCATGAACTGAAGCAACCTCCCAGAACACTGGCCTTTACCTTTGGTAAAGGTTCTCAGGGAACTCACATTCTAACGGGAGAGACAACCAGCAAGCAATTATGGACAGTCGTGCTAAGTACTGTAGAAACTGGATGCTATCAGCAGAGGGAAGGCGCTGGGACTGAGAAGGAGGAGGAAGGTTTCCTATAAGAGGTGGGTTTTAGCTGCGCCTTGAAGGAAGCCAGGGCAGCCAGGAGGGGGAGGAGGAGAGAGAGCATTCCAGACTAGAAAACAATTTTAGTGGGCAGGAAAGTAGAGTCAAAGGGACTGGTTTTCAAATCCTGGCTCCTAACTATGTGCGTCTCTGGGGAGGCTACTTCACACATCTCAGATTCCGCATCTGTAAAGTGAGGAGTTTGGGTGGGATCTTTCCGAAGTCCCTCTCCCTTCTGTCCCCAGCTCTCAATACCATGACCAGGTCTTGCGTAGCTTAGGAAACAGGAGGTATGACTTGGCCTCCAATGCCCAGAACGACCTAAGGAGCAGAATAAGGATCAGGGGCAGGGCTGAGAATCATACTCAGGACCTCTGCATCCATTCCAGGGCTTTCCTCACAATACCTCATAAGATTTTGGGGGCATACTTGTATGCTTTTACAAAGCAAATGATCAGAAAGATGTCTAGTTTTAGACTTATAATCATCCCAATTGATTCACATTTCTTATAAAATGCCCCTTTTACTCAATCCTATAGACTTGCAGTCAGGAAGATCGGAGTTCATATCTAACCTCAGATACTTCCTAGCCATGTGACCTGGCCAAGTCATTTTCCTGTTTGCCTGTTTCCTCATCCATAAAATGATCTAGAGAAGGAAATGGCAAACCACTCCAGTATCTTTGCCAAGAGAACCCCCATTGGGGTCACAAAGAGTGGAACATGACTGAAACAATTGAACAACAATAATCACTACCATTCTGGAAGAAGGTGGGGGTGGTGGTTGTGGGGGATAGAGGTAGATTGTTACCATCCTAGTCTAAATGACTGGAAGAGTGACCAACTGGAAGGCAAGCAGGATGGTGAGGGGATGGGAGACCACAACCATAGATAATGATTTCAGTGTATGGGGCAAGTGACACACTCAAATAAAAACATTCCCTCAAATAAAATTTTTTTTAAGTTGGGAAGGAGAAGCCTCAGGATAATACTAGTCCATGGTGAAGAGATGGGGAACTGTATCATCAATTCCCTAGGGACAGAGACCTGCTCACTTTAAAGCTGCTGCTGGGGAGGCAGGGTAAGACAGGTAGTCAGTCAATAAGCATTTTTAAATACTTACTGTGTGCCAGCCACTCTGCTAAGCCCTAGGAATGCTAACGAAATAAAAAAAGAAAATCTCTGCCCTCGAGGAACTTACATTGCAATAGTGGAAGCAGAAAAAAGGTGGAGGAAGAAGGCACCCACACAGGGTTTGGGGGATGGTGGAGAAAGCAGTCTGGAGAGTTAAGAGCAGAACCCTGAGAGGAATGAATGAGTTGGCAGGGAGGCAGGGAATTCATATGAGGTTCTACATTATGAAGAGAAAGTCCATCATCTAGTGGTTTCTTATTTCAACCAATTATTTTCGCTAACTAGGTGCAAAGCTCAGTTGTTTCTACATGCTAAAAGAATGAACCCTCAAATATTTCATGCCCTGGTGCAAAGCCCTTACAGCTCTGCTAGAGACCACTGCCTGTAAGACCATTGAAAAGATTGTTTTAGCCTGGTAGAGATAAGAATTAGGGGAGACATGATTTCCATCTTTAAATATTTAAAGATCTTTCAAGTGAAGGAGAGATTTGGCTTTTTTTTTCTTTCTTGGTTTAAAGGGGAAAACTAGGACCTGTGGGTGGAAACTGTTGAAAGGTAAATGTTAGTTCAATATAAAGAAAAAAATTTAAATATAGCTGTCCAAAAGTGAAGTTGTCTGCTCTAGAAGGTGATTAGCTCTCCATTACTGTAGAGATTCAAGGGGAGGCTGACTAAGCACTTGTTAGGAATGTAATAGAGGGGATTTCTGCTCAGGTACGGGGTGGATTTGATAACCTCTGAGGTCCCTTCCAACTTTGACTTTCTATGTTCTGAACATCCGGAGAGAACAGCTTATAGTGAACGCTGCCTCATCACCTACTCCCTCCTCAAATCCCACACTACTGGTTTCCATCCCCTTCACTTGGATGAAACTGTCTGGTCCAGGATCCTCAAATATTTTATATTTGATAAATGGGGATAATAACAACACTTATTTCCCAGGATTGTTGTGAGGATCAAATAAGATACAACTTGTAAAGCACTTGGCATAGTGTCTAGCACACAGTAGGCATTTAATAATTGCTTATTTCCTTCTTTCCATAACTAGTCTGCCAGCTTGCTTCCACGTGGCCCCTTTGCTCAGCTTATCTCTGCTTCCTGTCTTAGCTGATCACTATTGTGAGCATGTGAAGGAATGCTCCCACCTCTTTCCATACCCTGGAGCCCCTCCCAGTAAATTAATATATTAATTGGCTGCCTCAAGTATTTGTTTAAGGCATCAATCACTTAATTCTTTGAAGCTATGGCAGTGGCCTTTCACTTATTTGATTTAGCCTTTGTTGTTATAGGAAGCTTGTGGCCCATAAAAGTCCCTTGCAATTTTCTGAAAGCCAGCTCTCCTCCTTTTCAACTTTAGGCCCAGATAATTCTCTACCTATGCTGTCTGTCCCAGATAGCCACACGTATAGTCATACTCTATAGGACTTCTATGCATACTGAAACCTGGACAGTAGACATTGTTCATCCACTTTGTGTTTCCTGCATAGATAGAAAGGCCGAACTTTCTTGAGTGATGACAGATCTCTCCTAGGAGATTTCTTCTTCTACAAAGAAGCAGAAGAAACTGTCTTCTCCTGTCTCTTCTTTGAGGTTAACAATAAATGCTTTCTAACCAGCAACCATGCTCAATGTGAGAGTCTTCTGCAATGTGTTGGGGCTTGATGCGAAGACCATAATGTCATCTGTAAGCAGGAGCATCTGTAAGACCTCAGCTCCCTGACCTTTTTGCTGGATTTCCTCCATCACAGTATGGATTACTTTTGTCATTCATATATCTCCCTGTTTCATTCCTTGCCTGATGTTCATTGTCATAAACAGATAATGTACCAGAGTGGATGAAGAATCACATGATTCTATAACCTGAGAGTTGGAAGGGACCTCAATGGTCATCTCGTCCATAATCATAATTAAGAATCAGAGATCTTTACATCTAAAGGAACCTGGAAAGCCTCTCTAATGGTTATCTAGCTAGGGTCTGTGAACTTTTTTTTTTCAAAAATAAATTTTTTCTATTTCAATACAATTGGTTTCATTTGTAATTATAGGTATTTTATTTTATCCACATAAAATTTTATTCTGATAAGGGCTTCATAGGCTTCACTAGTCTCCAACAGAGCCTATGACACAAAATAGATTAAAAACACCTGTTCTAGTTCAGTCCTATCATTTGACAAATGAAGAAACTGAAGCTCAAATACTTTGCCAAAAGTTAGCAGAGATAGGAGTTTGACTCAAGTCTTTTGACTGAGTCCAGTGACTTTTCCACCACACCACACACAATAGACTGCTTTAAAGTTTGTATTTATGTCTTTAGTTTTTACATCACCTCAGTTTCCAAATATATCCCTTCTCATCCTTTTTCTCATAAAAGAGGAAAAAGTAGGGAGAAGCAACTAAGCAAAACTTGAAAAAAAGTCTGACATTATATGCTGCGCTTCATACCCGTTGTTACTGTGCAAAGAAGGAAGGGAAGGTATCGTTGCCTATTTCTTCTCTGGGGTCAACAATAAGTGTATTTTAACTGGCAATTATGCTGAATGTGAGGGCTTTTCCTGTCCTATACTTCATAGCCATATTCATTTTCCCCTTTAATCACCAAACCCAATATTCTGGGAGATTACTTCAGTTCATTATATTTTCACTTTAAAAATAAATTTTGTTTTTAATTTGTGCTTTGTAAATGAATGTCACTTTAACAGAGCCATTGGAATACAGTTATCCCTTCCACATCGCGGGGGTTAGGGACATGCACCCCACCTCCCCTGGATCTAGAAAATCCATGGTCCTCCCTTCACACCAAAGAAGTCTGAATTTTTTCTTTTTCTTTTATGGTGCATTTACAGTAGTATACATATATTTTATGCATTTCTGAGTTTCTAAACTTTTTCTGTGTTGTCTGCTGGCCTTCACAGGTTGTCCGTGGCTTCTGCAAAACTCCCCTCAAAATTTGCATTTAATTTGTTATGCCAACCC